AAGCGCTCAGACGTCGTTGTGACAATGATTTCAACCATGATGGATTTTCACGGAAGGGATGAACCCAAATATCACCATCAAAATAAACAGCAACGAATATTTTAATTCATTAAGAATTGTCATGGAATTCGAAATTTACCATATCATCATCAACAATTACTTGCTTAGAACCTCAGAATACATACAGAGAGTGAGTTCATTTGAAAGGATCAAAACTACTTATCTCACGTTCATAAATCTATTCAGACACGTCAAACTCTGCCAAAGTTGTATGGAAAATAATGTCATCAATCGGAAAAAAGAAAGGTAAAGGCAAAGGTGAGTCACTGTCGTTGTGAAGACAAAATAAAAAAATATTCAAGTTGGCAATTTGGCAATTCAGAACATCAATGAAGGCGAACACAATTTTTTTTGTAAATTAACAAAAAAATTTGATAATTATAAAAAAAAACAAAAACAAACATATGCTATTGAAAAATTATGACGATACTTTGTGAATTCTTTTCATTCGTTGTGATTGAAATTTTCAATGAAGAAATACTTCATCGGTAAAAAGAAAAAAAAGATCTCAAGGTGTATGATCTTTTTTAATCATTAATTAAAAAAAACCATCCATATAAATAAAGACAATTTTTACTTATTATTATGTTTTGAAAACAAATTGTTATCATTAGAATCGTAAATACTGTTGAATTTAAAAATCAAATTTAAATCCAAATCCAAAAGCAAATCCTCAAAAATGACTTTCCACGTTTTATGCCTTGGGCCCTTGCAAAATGAAACAAATGTTTTTGAACATTCTGTTGTCGTCCAATTTGACAGCATGCAATTTACTTCCACCCAGGTGAACCCACAACCAGTTTCTCTTTAGACAAATTTGAATCCTATATTTCATACCATCACCAATCAATGTGTTCGTACTCATATTGTGGAAGATTTCTCTATCCAGAGAAGGCAAAATGGGTTCAAAGAGATGAAAATTACCTCTGTTCACTGAAGCACAGATACAGCGTTAATCATGGATCCAAACCCTCCTGGCAATGCGCAATTTGTGTAAAAATAATCCCAAACAGAAACTTGCTATCATACCTTCACCCAGTTCTGGGAAAAGACATTTCAAATCCCTCTTGGTAAGCGAAGTATTTATTGCCAATCAACATCAAATATTGGCTAGTTTAACTCTCTTTCTACTTGTTAGCAACTAAATAACTGCGCAGTAGGAAATTTTGCGGCTTGTAAGTGTGAATCATGTGGTGTAACCATAAATAAAAAAAATAAAATGTTAATAATTACCATAGTTATCGATAATAGTCACTTTGTTGGAATTTACAGGTTGAGGAAGATTTGTAAAATTTAATAACCTGCTAGTATAAACAGCATTTGGATGAATTGTTGCAGTAATTGTTGAAGGATCAAATTTTATTTTGTCCATTTTTGCAAATTCCTTGCTAATTAATTTTAATTCATCACATTCTTTTTTAGAACGTCCATAATATTCAGGATTATACATTACCATATCATCAAATGAAGTATTCCATAATTTAATAATATAAAGAATTTCCTTGGCAGTTGGACGTTTATCTGGATTAGCATTCATACATCTACATGCTAATTCAATATAGAATTTTGGTGTATTGTTTGAGAACCCAGGTCTTGTACCCTCACATATTTTTATTGCAAGATCTACATCATGTGCCAGATTACTAAATGGTTGTTGGCTAGTTGATATTACAGACATCAGAACTCCAAAACTATAAATGTCTGATGCCATTGTGTATGGTTTCTCTCTTAAAACTTCTGGTGCAACATATGGCAGCACTCCAAATATATCATTTTTGTTTGATGATGATACTTGACTTGCTGGACATGATAATCCCAAGTCTGTAATATATGAAGTAATAGAATTTTGAAGAATATTACCACTATGAAGGTCATGATGAATGATTTTTTGTTCATGAATATCATTTAGACCTTTAATAATATCACAAAGAATGTAGATTTTGTTTTTCCATTTTAAATTTTTAAAATCTTTAGTTAAATAGTTTTGAAGACTTCCGTCTTTCACATATTCCATTACAAATATATATTCATTTGTAATTGGATCTTGTGTTAATCCATAAATTTTAATTATATCTGATTTACCATGAAACTTCACATAATTTTTGAACTAAAAAAAAAATAAATTATTTAATTTCAACAATAATAATGATTAGTGTTTAAGAATCTGAAAAGAAAAATAGTAAAATAATTTACCTCATTAAGAAATTCATCAGAAATATTCTGTGAATTATGCAATCTTTTTAATGCTACTATTCCATCCTCACTAGTTCTTTCATTAATATGATAATTTACACTTTTATAGCCATTTAACCAAGTAGCTTTGAATATAGTTGCAAACCCGCCTTCACCTATCTTTTCAATATTTGTTAAATCGTTGTAAGGAATCCATTGGAGATAATATTCATTCTCATACCCAATTGCTTTAAGTTGTGTACTTTTAATCAACTCATCTAGTGTTTCATTACCACTAGTCCATCCTTTGGTTAATAGATTTGGATCACATGATTGACACCATCCACAATGAGTATTATATTCATTGCAAGTTGGACATTTTCCAAAATATTTATTTCTTTTCGTTGAATGTTCAACATCATTGATTTTTTTAATAAAAGCAATATCTTGATATTTATCGTAATTTAAATCGCCATCCATTTTAAAAACCTTGTATTTGTATGATAAACCCTTTGTAGATCATTGACCAATTAGGTGTTACGAGTATTTAAATGAAATTCTTCAAGAGGAAAATAGTGTTCAATTAATTCAGCTTTAGCAGCAGCAGATGGTAATGTAGGTATTGAGATGACAACTGATGAATAAATAATCCAATGAAAAAAAATTTACAAGCTTACAAAAAAATTTATTAAAAAATTTTACAAAAAGGTTACGGAAATATGTTACAGAAAACACAACTTCCAGTATACTTTTCACAGAATATTTACAGAAAAGACATGATAAATTCACAAAAAATTATATACGACTCTACAGAAAAGATATTGTTATTGTTACAAGAATGGTATAGTAAGTTTACAGAAAATTATATATTTTTTTTAACTCTTGCCAGTGGAAGAATCAAACCCACATTAAATGTTTTATTTTTAAATTCATGATTTTAATTGGTCAATTGCGTGGGTTAAAATTTTGTGTTATTGTATAATAATAACGAACAATTATTTCATGTAGAAGGTTGAGTTCCGTGCGCTGAAATCGCCTAGAGGAATTTCTCTACGAAAAAATAACAAAAAAAAAAAATTGGACGGCTGTCCTATTTATATGTTTCGAATTTAATAAAATAGACTATTGTCTTGACCCGAGTGATGTTATTTTTTTGCAGAAGACGCAAAACCCAACTTAATTGAATTTTTATTCTTGTGTAGAACGGTATGCGTGTTTTGTAACACGAAAAGCAAGAGGCTCACATTGCGTTCTCAGTTATAAGCTTGTTATTAACACATTTTCTATAGGAGTCCAAGCCAAACCAAACAACAACACTCACGTTTTGTCACCTTGGACTCTGTCAAAAAATAAATTGTTTTTCCAAAAAAAAAAAAAAAATCAATTTGCGTCTGTCCTCCCAAAAAAAAACCAATAGGATAAATAATTAGTGTCGATCAATTCACAAACTTTTTTTTTAAAAATGTCCAACAGAATAAAAAATACAAAAAAAAGAATTAATGCAAACGATAGGGAAAGACGCGAGTAAATGTTTTAAGGATGGTGGTGGTTATCGCCCACCACTCGTCATTACTCTAGTTAATATTTTAATTATCATCATTGCTTTTAATTCATTACTAGTGAGATTTCTTCTTCACGAACATCATCATCATCATCTATTGTAAGTAAATTGCATTCTCTTCAAATGAATATCTTATTTTTATTTTAGTGAATTCAATTTTGATAATATTGTAATAGATTGACAACGATAAAATAATAAATATTGAAAGTTCGTTCAAAAGATCATATTATACAGTGGAATGCCATTAAAGCCATTAGAACCACACGAAATACGTGGGATATTAAATGAAATCCACATGAAAGAAAGTACTACTACAGCAACTACACAACAACCAACTGAAAACACAAATAATAATGGCAACGATGGTAATGATAACAGCGATCAAACAACCATTCCAACAACTGCTGCAACAAGTAATATTCTTTCAAGGCAACAACCAAGGTCTGCAGTTCATTCTACAGTTTCTACAATGTTAAGTTCTGTTCCTCCATTGACTGTCGCTAAAAAAGAAGAGGAGGAGGAGGAGGAATCTGTTGCAATGCAGGTGGTAATCGAGAAGTTAGAGAGCATTGATGGCGAAGAAGAGGATGATGATGATGAGGAGGAACAGAGTGAAGAACCTGCTGTTATGCAAGTGGTAGTTGAGAAGCTGGAAAATATTAATAGTGACGAGGAAAGTCTAGTAGAACAGGATGGTCCAGCGTTACATGGGTCTAGGAACTGGACCAGTGAAGAAACAAAAATACTCTTAAAATATATTTTTAACAAGAGGTTAAACTGTGTTGAGCTACAAGACTTAGGCCTGTTATGAAAAAATCAGGCAATTTCAAAGAAGTGGAGCTCAATGAAACATAAAATTAAAAAATTATTTGTTGTTGATTTTTAGAATCACTCTTTTTTTTATTTTTTTATTTTTTTTAATATAATATTTGTTACTTTCATTAAAAAACTTTTTGATAAGCTTTTATTAATTTTTTTGTTTATTATTTTTCTAAATTTCATAAGTAATACAAATTTGAAACTTTGCATCATGCCAATAGTTCATTTGGCAACTTATCAGGAACTGGATTTCCTTGAAGTCTTTTGTTAATCAAAAACATTCCTATACAAAATTCCTTTCTATTTAAATTTCCATCTCTTTTCTTTCCCTAAATAAGTTTCAAGTGCTTGAGTATCACTTAATTTGAAA